CTGTATTTGAATTTGATTTGAGATCAAATATTTGATCAAATCAAATCAAATCAAATCGAATTGCGGAACCCTAATTGTTAGTAAAGAACAATATAAAGATAAAAATATTATTATAATTAGTAATAATTCAGCATTACCAAATATTTTAAAATATAAATTTTATAAATGGGTGGCTAATAATTTTAAAAAAGGAGTTGATGTCATTACTGATGAAGAATATGACAGAATTTCAGATACGGAAAGAGATGAAAAATTAACTGAATTTACACATATTGAATATGCAGATCTTTTACAGCAAATTTTTAAATATATGAAAACTAATAATATTACTATTGATGGTCTTACTTCATATAGAGAAGTTTCACATATTATCGATAAAGTTAGACAAAAGATTAGTAGTAATGAAAGTAAATTTAAAAATAAAAAAAAATAGAAGAGTGATTTAATTATTTATATTTGTGTATCTTTCCTTTTTAGTTTTTTAAAATTTAGAAAAATCCAAAAAAATTTAAAAAATTCTTAAAAAAGATTTAAAAATATTACGTAATATTACTTATTTTATTATTTTTATTTTATTATTTTTTATTTTGTTTTTTCCCATTCAAGCAAATAAATTAATAAATCTATTTCTTGTATTGCTTAATATTCCTTGTTCGGTATTTTCATTTTCATATGTAATACTTATTTGGTTTTCTTTAATCAATTCAGATGTTACTGGTGTTAAAACTCTAACTTGTATTTCTTGTTCTTGTTGATTATTCAATTCTCTTTGTGGGTTAGAGTTATGTTTATATTTAATATCTTCAATTATTGAATATTTTGAAGATGTGCATGATAATCCTTTTTGATATCTGATTGTTTCATCTGAATTATCAGAATCCAATTCATCATGTTTTTGTTTTTGAAATGCCACATTATTGACCATGAAGGTAATACTACTTGAACTTTGTGGTTCTATTCTAGCTTTTCCTATTTCTTGACCAGTAGATGACATATGTCTAATAAGTCCTTGCATATCTTGCTGGTTTTGTTCTGTTGCTTGATTTGAGGGACCCAGTGTTCTATAAGATTCTTCATTAGGTTGAATGTCTGTTAATTCTGGAAATTCTGTGAATATTAATTGATTATTTAGTAATTCTTGTATTTGTGAGCCGGGTGTGTTTGTTATTTCTCTGATTCGTGGACTGTTAATTCTGGTACGATATCTAGATCTAAATTGTATTTCTCTTCTTCGATTAATCCTAAAATTTCTTATGTTATTTGTAATTGTGTTGATGATAGAATTGATAAATCCTTGTTGTCTTTCATCAAATTGACGGTTGATTGTATCATACAAATTAGTTTTAAATTGTTCAAACATATTTTCAAAAATTTGATCATTATTAATTATAATTGGTTGTTGATTTTGATTTTGATTTTGAATAGTGTTTATCATATTTCTAAATTCATTTCTGATATTCGTTAATTGGTTGATAAAATTTTCTATTCTTTCGATTCTATGTAAATCTTCTTGTCTCATTAAACCGGTTCCTTGATTTATCTCACCGAATCTTCTGATTATATCATTATAATGTTGATCTATATTTTGATAAATTTGTCTCAAATTTTCATTGTTTATAATTTGTTGTTGATTTTGGTTTTGAATTGTCTGTATTGTATTTTCGTAATCATTTCTAATATTTCTGATATCAGTAGTCAGTTCTTGATATCCGTCCATGTATCTTTGTCTTAAATTTTCAATTCTTCTAACAATATCGATGTTTTGAGTATTTTGACGAGTATTTAGATTATTTAAATTATTATTTTGTTGATTAATTAGATTTCTTATCTGATTTAATAAGTTTAATTGATTATTTTGATTAGTGTTTAAATTTCATATATTATTATTTAATTGATCTAATGCGTTGTTTTGTGTGTTAAACAGATTTCTTATGGTATCTCTAAACTGTTGTCTTCCAGCTCTGATATCTTCTCTTAATCTATCGATATTGTTGTTTAAATTTTGTTGATTTGGTTGTTGATTTTGTTGTGCTTGCGGTATATTATTTTGAGGGAAGGGATTACCATTATCATTATTATCATCATCATTATCACCATTATTATCATTATTACCGTTACCATTATTTCTTGGTGGAATTTGTCTATTTGGCCTTTGATTGTTATTTGGAGGTCCTTGACCTATGTTATTTGGCATTTGATTTCCATTTTCAATATAATATAACCTTTGTTCTCTAAGTGATCTTACCAATCTAAGATTGATACAGTTTTGATTTCAACATGTGGTATTCAGATCATTTCTAGCATGATTTTCACTACTACAACATCCACAAGTGGCTATGTAATTTGGTATGCGTCTTCTTCTTGGTCTGTATGAAATTTGTCTGGGTCTGTATAGTTGGTAATAAGGTCTGTATTCAATATCAAACCAAACATTTGGTAATACAATTATTAGATAAATATATGAAATAGTTTTTATTAAAATAAAAAATAACAATAAAAATTTATACATTTCTAATCATAAATTCTGGTATTATTTTATGTTTGA